ATGAAATGACTAGCAAATTAAACTCAGCAGCATATTAGGAGGATTATTCACTGTAATCATGGGAGATTTACCTCTGGGATGCAAGGATGGTTCAACATACACAAATCAATAAACATGATACATCACATTAATAGAATGAAAGAAAAGCAATCATATAATCATCTGAGTAGATGCAGAAAAAGCATTTGACAAAATTCAGCATCCATCCATGATAAATACTCTTAACAAATGTATGGAAAGAACATATCTCAATATAATAAAGGTCATATATAACAAGCCCACAGCTAACATCATACTCAGTGGTGAAAGTTAGTTTTTCCTAAGCTCAGGAAGAAGACAAGGGTGCCAACTCTAACCAATCCTATTCAGCACAGTATTGGAAGTCCTAGACAGAGCAGTTAGGCAAAATAAAAGACATCAGAATTGGAAAAGTAGTAAAACTGTCAATTTGCAGATGATACGATTTTCTATACAAAAAAATCCTAAAAACTCCACCAAAAAACTGTTAGATCAACAAATTCAGCAAACTTGCAGGTTACAAAATTAACATAAAAGAATCAATAGTGTTTCTGTATACTAACAATGAGCTATCTGAAAAACAAGGAAATGATCCCATTTATATAATAGCATCAAAAACAATAAAATACTTAGGAATAAATTTAACCAAAGGCGCCAAAGATCTCTACACTAAACCTACATTAATGAAAGAAATTGAACAAGGCACAAATGGGAGAATACCCCATGTTCATGGATTGGAAGAATGTACTTAAAATGTCATACTATCCAAAGGCATCTATAGATTTAATGCAATCCCTGTCCTAAAATTTGTATGGAACCACGTAAGACCCTGAAATAGCCAAAGTAATCCTGAAAAAGAACAAAATCAGAGGCATCACACTTCTTGATTTCAAACTATATTATAATGCTATAGGAACAAAACAATGCTACCAGCATAAAAGATATACACATGAGCCAATGGAACATAATCAAGAGCCCAGAATTAAATCCCCACATATACAATCACCTAATAGATGACAAAGGGTCCAAGAATACTCCACTGAGAAAAGACCATCTCTTCAGTAAATGGAACTGAGAAAATTGGATATCACATATGAAAGAATGAAACTAGACTCCTATCATAAACCACTCCCAAAAATTAACTCAAATGGATAAAGACTTAAACATGAAACCTGAAGCCATGAAACTCCTAGAAGAAAAACTAGGGAAAAACTGCTTGGACAAAAGGTCCTGGCAATGATGTTTTCAATATGACACCTAAAGCACAAGCAACAGATTAAAAAAATAAACGTGTGGAACTGCATCTAACTAAAACCTTCCACACAACAACAAAAATCAACAAAATGAAAAGCAGCCTATGAAAAGGAGAAAAAAATATTTGCAAGCCATGTATCTGATAAGGAGTTAATTTCCAAAGTATATAGCTCATACAATTCATTACCAAAAAGAAGAAAAAAGCAAATAATCTAATCAAAAATGGCCTAAGTACCTGATGAGACAGTTTTCCAAAGAAGATATTCAAATGGCCAAAAGGTATATGTAAAGGTGCCCAACATCTCTCCTCATTAGAGACGTGCATATCAGAACCACGATGAACTATCACCTCTCACCTGGAAGAATGGCTATCATCAAAAAAACAAAAAATAATAAATGCTGGCATGGTTTTAGAGAGAAGAGAATGCTTGTATCCTGTTGGTGGGAATGTAAATTGGAGCAGCCACTTTGGAAAACAGTGTGGAGTTTCCTCAAAAAATTAAAACTAGAACTACCATATGATCCAGCAATTCCATTTCTGGGAACATATCTGAAGGAAGCGAAAACACTATGTTGAAGAGATCCCTGCATGCCACGTTCTCTAGCAGTCCTATTCACAATAGCCAAGAAATGGAAACAACCTAAGTGTTATTTCCATCAGTGGATGAATGGATAAAGAAGTCATGTATGTGTGTATGTGCATGTGTGTGTATATACTGTGTACACACACACACACAGGAATATTATTCTGCCATCAAAAGGAGAAAATCCTGCTATTTGCAACATGAATGGACTTTTAGGATATTGCGGTAAGTGAAGTGAGTCAGATAAAGACAAATAGTGTATGATGTCACGTATATGTGGAATCTAAAAATACCAACCTCACAAAAAACCTCAGATATTTTGTTGCCAGGGCTACAGGGGTGGGGGGAATTGGGTGAAGGTAGACACAAACTTCTAGTTACAAGATACAGAAATACTGGGCACATAATGTACATAACTATAGTTAACAATGCCTCATGGAATAGAGCTGGTAAAGGTGGATTCCAAAAATCCTCATCACAAAGAAAATATTTCATAATAACTTTGTGTTGACAAAGTTTGTTGTGATAATCATTTCCTAGGATGTATATACATCCAGTCATGCTGTTCCTAGGCATCAGTATCTCAGTGGAACTGGAAGAAAATCATTTGCTTTTCTTCTATCTGTGGGAAGCTGTCAGTCTTGTTATTTTACTTCATGATTGACCCTCAAACATTCAAAGCAGGGGGAGTTCAATCATAATTCCAAATATTGTCCTCAAAAAAAAAAAAAAAAGACTTTTTTCTCATAAGGAAGACTTCAAGGTTTGCTCAAAAAGCATGATTCTTTGACTTGAAGAAATGCACTCCAAAATAATTGTAGTGACGTAGTAAATTGAAATTCATGATTTGTATTTCAGCTTATTCATCTTTTCTATCATTTCATTGTAATACAATCAAATATATTTCAGTGTAACCTTTCATTAATATTGACTGTACCGTTAGAGACTGGATGTGTTCCCCTAAAAGTCCTAAGTGGAAGCCATAACCCCCCAAAGTGATGGTATTTGCAGGTGGGATCTTTGGGAGGAGTTTGGAGTTTAGAGTTGAATCACGTCAGGAGGGTGGGGCCCTCATGATGGTAATCGATTAAAAGGATTTTCATTCTTTCTCCATTAAGAATTAACGTCTTAGGGAAACCAATGTATAGAACCTAAGTGTCCATCTAGCCCTGATAATCAGATAGTCTGCTTTCAAAAAATCAGAAAGGAATTTACATGCAAGTCAAGCTAGAGAAATAATCTTGTGCTCTTGTCCTTGGAGCCCATGTGAAAACCAGGATTTTAATCTAATCAGTTTCCAAAACAGTAAAGTATGCTGCATGAAATTCAGGTGGTCATGTACACCTTCTTTGCACTCTACACTGGCAGGCCCATGAAAGCATCCCAAGTTGTCTTCATGAATAAAGGTTTGAAATGTTCGAGAGAGAACCGTGAAACCCTGGGCCTGGGCCAGAAGTCCCGACGTCCCTGTGTGCACCTGCCTGCAGGCGTGGCCACCCCGCAGGAGAGCCAAGGTCTCTTTCTCCAACAGATCCCAAGCAGACTTGGCCTTGAACCCACGACCACCTCCCCTAACTCACTATCCTCACACTTGTGTCTGGGTTAGTAAATTCATGTGCGTATTAATGTCCTGTAGAAATTTCATCTCAAAATTCCCAATTACTAAAAAGGCCAGAGCTCCTACTGAATTATATATTAGGGTGATATTCCCACAAGGTTCACTCTGTACCCTTAGTTTTACCTTCCAATTGCATCAGTAGACGCGTTGACAACTCCGAGAAGCAAACGAATTTGAGTTTTAAGTAAATAAACTGTGTTAACTGGTAATACTAGTTATACATTATCCTGTAATGCTGTTTCTGAATTGCCTTTTCAAGATTTCCTCAGAAAGATAACAAGCTCCCTCTTGTGGGCAGTGGGCATCATATATAATTATTTCCCCAAAGCACTGTAACTTCATAGGTACCTTTTGTTTAAAGGAGAAGGGTCCTCTTCTGTCTTTGACAGCATGGGCTCTATTTTTCTCTTTGAACGTTAGCAAGGAAAATAATATTGATTATCATGGAATGTTTATAGGACAAGTCATGAGTTTAGAGTCATTTGATGTGAACTGTTCTTCCATGTGCAAAGACATTAACTTCAGCTAACCTGTTAGAACATATACATACATGGGGCGCCTGGGTGGCGCAGTCGGTTAAGCGTCCGACTTCAGCCAGGTCACGATCTCACGGTCCGTGAGTTCGAGCCCCGCATCGGGCTCTGGGCTGATGGCTCAGAGCCTGGAGCCTGTTTCCGATTCTGTGTCTCCCTCTCTCTCTGCCCCTCCCCCGTTCATGCTCTGTCTCTCTCTGTCCCAAAAATAAATAAACGTTGAAAAAAAAATTTA